ACTTCCAGTAGATTCCATGGACCCCAGCCTAGGTGCACTTTATGAGCAGAAAAGGCAACAAACAATAAGATAATCTCACTGCCCCCAGTAAGAGATGGATGACCTTGAGAGGAACACCATCAACATCATCATTACAGCCATCATCATCACCACCAAGTATATCTCTAGCATCATCGGGCATCATCGTCACCATCAAAACGTAATGGTCAGGTGATAGCTAGTGGAGAGGCTCACTGGAAGCTCCGACTTGGTGTGGTCCACATCCTCCCTTCACCCTGGTTCTTGCTTTTCCTCTCCAAGTACTTGGAAGCTGCCAAGTACTTGCCTTGCGGTGCCCCTTACAAGAGACCACTGCCGTTGCTGTTAGGTGACTTGGCCAGGAAGGAGGGCATATGGGTGATGGCTCTGTCCTGGCAAGGAGCGTGTGTGCCATCGCAGAGTAATCCTGCACTGGCACCATCGGGGCGATGTGGGCAAGAACAGCACAGCGCAAGGCCAAGTGCAAATTGTTTTAAAATGCACAAATGAGCTTGGTTCAGGTGCTGCCAAAGAGTTCTCCATTTCAGCAGAGAGTTATTCTGTGCACTTTTACTACGCTTATCCAATAAAAGCACAACTGTTCACGGAGTCGTTAAGCTGTGCTTTTAGGAGACGCCGTCAAGGAAAGCAGGCCACAAATGGAGCCTGATTTGCTAACTGGTTTGAGTTGCTTTTGTCAAAGCCACATCAAACCTGCAATCTGCAGGCTCTCCTTCCCTTGTGACATTGTCACTCTGAACACTTGAAATCGATTCGGTTCTGTGACACCTTTAGTCATTTGAAGGGCCCACGTGTGCTCAGGCCTGTGATGTGGCTCCTGACCTCAGGGAGGAGCCATGAAGGAAGCAGGATGCTGTCGGGAAACAGGTGGTATGGAGCGTGGCTACTATGGGGGTGAAAAAAGGAGGACATAATGTCATCTACCAGAAACCTTTCTGTCTGTGGCTCCACTTCAGTGCTGGCCTGTGCAGTCTCATGGACTTTTCATGGCCCTGGTTGTCAAAAGCAGGATGAAGGGTGTGGGGGAGCATGGGGAGACGTTCTGAGACCCACTTGATCTGATTTTATCCAGAAAATAAAGTTTTCTATACACTCACCCCAGATCTTTGGCCTCTTGGTCAAAGTTGGGTGATATTCCGCTGCTGGCTACTGGGGGTTCTGTACATGGTCCATGGCTGCTCTGGTCCAAAGAGGATTCTTCCAGCAAGAAGCAAGGGAGCAGAGGTCATCAGGCAGACAAATGATAGTTTGCAAATAGTTTGGGATGAGGGAGTAGTTTGTAGCAGGTAGGCAAGTAGGATTTTGAATCTCTCCTGGAGGCTCAAGGAGAGGGGATAAGAACCTAGACTCCTTTCTGGTGCAAATAAAGTCCTATCATGCTATCTTGGAGGTGTCTGATCTCATCTGGAGGAGGAGACTCTATGTACTTCATCCTCCTCATCTTCAAGGCCTACAATGTGCAAGACCCTTCACGAACTATTTGCTGAATGACCAAATGCATCCACACAGCTGGCCAAGGGGTCTTCTTAAACAGAATGGTAGCCGTAGACCAGAAATCCCTGCAGTGGCATGCTGGGACTCAGGAACCCAGGCTTGTATTCACATACCCCTCAGGTATAGATAGTCATGTTGGCAGCTCACCCAAGTCAAGTCACCTCGCCACTTTGTGTCTGCATTTTCTGAGTATGTCCTGGGAAGATTAAATGAGCAGGTGGACGTCATGTATGGTGTACCTGGCACACATCTAGCATGAAAGACACAGCGGCTGTCTGTGTTTTCAGCTAGACTCTTGTGAGCAATGAAGAGGACTCAGATTTTTGTAGTAACTGGGTCTTTCAGGCCCCAGCAGCCCCCAGTGACAGGACTCTGGCAGTGTTTGGAGAACACAAAGCTATCTTGTGTGTTTCTTTTGGTGTCTGTCACTGGGGAAAGTCATATGCTGACCCTAGGGCTTAGTGAGCAAAGGCACATGTCAAATGAGGTGACCCTTGCTCTTGGGGTGGATGCTAGCCGCTCAGTCTATAGGAAGTCTAAGGACTCAGTTTCCCACAGATCGAGGTCAGCCCATGAAAGCCAGACCTCTGCTGAGCAGGGTGAAAGATGATTGCGGCCTGCTGGCTCTGTCCCCAGTGGCTGGCCCTCTCATTCCACACCACCCTGTCCTCTTCCTGACGTCACTGACTCTTCCCCTAGCTGGACAGCCTTGAAGTATAATTGTAAGCAATAGAAACCAAGTGTTCCATTATTGTAACCCAGTTCTGAAAAATGAAAATTGGGCAGAATGAGGCAGCCACCCAGTGGTGTTAGCGGCAGCAAAGGCTAACTTAATTAGAGAGCTGCTTTGAGGCCTTGGGCAGGAAGTGAAACAGCTTTCAATGGCAAGCATTTCTCAACCATCCCATGTACTAGTAGTCCTGGCATGCTTACCCCTTTGTCTCCTTAAAGGAAGAGCACACACATAGCGAAGGCAAGCTGGGAGACGGAACAGAGTCCCACATTGTCACTGAGCCCCTGGGAAGCTGGTCTTCATTCCCAGAAGGCTCAGTGGCTCAGGAACACAGAGCCCCAGGGCATGCATGTCCTGTTGGGTGGCTGAGCCTGAGTGGTTTGGGGCAGATGGTCTACTTCTTCTTGGTTCCACTCACCAACTGGTCCTCCCAAATCTGTCACAATTGGGGAAGCTTTATATGTGGAATTGACCACCCTAACTTCTAAGTGTAGCCCCATTTGCTGGGGATGGGGAAACCTAGTCCTCACTGGAATCATTTGCTGCTCTTGCCCAATGCTGCTGCCCTGATTTCTTCCACAAGTCAGGCTCTTTGCACAGAAAATAAAACCTCCAGAGAAGTGTGGCTGGCTAAATCTTTTCCCGAGGAATTTATTTCCTGGGCTCCAGACTCACAGAAATACAGAAGTGGGAAGGAAAGACAGACAACGATGCTACCCACCACCTCTTCTTTAGCTGCATTTCTACTGATTTATTTATAGATGTCACACAGGATATGGCACCTGGGAGGAGCTCGGTAAATAGTCCTTAATTGATTACAACACGGAAATCTATCTGAAGATCTTGAAGGAAATAGGTACTTTGGTTATTCAGTTTTTCAAAGTAGTCATCAATTTTAATCAGCAGCAGAAATGGTTCTAGATAGAGGCATGTTGGTTCAGGCCCAAAGCAGAGAGAGTTCAAATGCAACAGCCTGCAAAGGCCGCGGCCTTAGTTACTTTTCTTAAAAATTCTCATGATGGATGACTGTTCCTTCTCCTGGCCTTCACCTTTGGTTCCATATTATTGGACAACAGGCATTCTAATTTGTGAGTGTGTGTGTGTGTGTGTGTGTGTGTGTGTGTGTGTGTTGTGGTGTAAGATGTATATGTGTGTGGTGTGGTGTAAGATGTATATGTGTGTGATGTAAGATGTATATATATATATGTGTGTGTGGTGTGGTGTAAAATGTATATATATGTGTGTGTGTGTGTGTGTGTGTGTGTGTGTGTGGTGTGGTGTAAGATGTATATATATATGTGTATGTGGTGTGGTGTAAGATGTATATATATATGTGTGTGTGTGTGTGGTGTGTGTGTGTGTGTATGTATGTGTGTGTGGTGTGGTGTAAGATGTATATATATGTGTGTGTGTGGTGTGTGTGGTGTGTGGTGTGGTGTAAGATGTATATATATGTGTGTGTGTGTGGTGTGTGTGTGTGTGTATGTATGTGTGTGTGGTGTGGTGTAAGATGTATATATATGTGTGTGTGTGGTGTGTGTGGTGTGTGGTGTGGTGTAAGATGTATATATGTGTGTGTGTGTGTGTTGTGGTGTAAGATGTATATATGTGTGTGTGTGTGTGTTGTGGTGTAAGATGTATATGTGTGTGGTGTGGTGTAAGATGTATATGTGTGTGATGTAAGATGTATATATATATATGTGTGTGTGGTGTGGTGTAAGATGTATATATATATGTGTGTGTGTGTGTGTGTGTGTGTGTGTGTGTGTGGTGTGGTGTAAGATATATATATATATGTGTGTGTGTGTGGTGTGTGTGTGTGTGTGTATGTATGTGTGTGTGGTGTGGTGTAAGATGTATATATATGTGTGTGTGTGGTGTGTGTGGTGTGTGGTGTGGTGTAAGATGTATATATGTGTGTGTGTGTGTGTGTGTATATGTGTGGTGTGTGTGTGTGTGGTGTGTGGTGTGGTGTAAGATGTATATGTGTGTGTGTGTGTATATGTGTGGTGTGTGTGTGTATGTATGTGTGTGTGGTGTGGTGTAAGATGTATATGTGTGTGTGTGTGTGGTGTGTGTGGTGTGTGGTATGGTGTAAGATGTATATGTGTGTGTGTGTGTGTGTGTGTGTGTGTGTGTGTGTGTGTGTGTGTGTGTGTGTGATGTGTATAATCTGTGTGAGTGCCTGAGAGCTTCTGGGGATTCTCCTCCCATCTCACCCTCGAAGCATGTGATGCTAGGCATGTGCCACCATGCCAGTTCTAAGTGGGCTCTGAGGCCTCTGACTCAGGCGCTCACCTGTGCACAGGTCAGCACTTTACCCACAGAACCATCACCCTGACTTCAGTGGCAGGCATTCTGATGAGGCCCAGGGACACGAGAAGCTAGAACTCCCATCGCTGCCCTTCCGGCATCTCCCTTCCTAATCCTGTCCCCCCTTTCCCATACAATGAAATGCCCCGGCCTTGGCCTTGAACTTCCAAGTGTAGCAGTGGCTCCCCTTCCCCTTGCCCCACCTCCCCTGGGGGAGCTAGTCCAAGTTACAACCACCTGTCTGCTGGTATCCATCTCTCCCTGTAACTGCTCCCCCAAATCGCAGAGTCACATGTGCTAACACCCCAAAGCTCCCACAGGGCCAGGGAGGGAAGAGTTTATTTACTAAATCCTGGGCGGATGAATGCAGAGCAGACCAGGTCCCTGGGGAAGCTACTCATTTAGTCTGTGGGTCCTGCAGGTGTATTTCCAGCCTTGTGTCCCACAGTTCTCCTTCTTCCTGAAGAGAAAGCCAGAGTTCTCATCTTGTGAAAGGTCAGTCCTACTTGAAAAGCCGTTTTATGGGTTCTTCAGAGGGGCTGGAGATGCTTCCCCTTCCCCTGGGGAGAAGCCAAGGTGAGGGGTTGGCAAACGCTGCTGCCCGCCGCTGGCCGACCTGAAGAGCTTGCCCTTGAAGTTAAATGAAAAGGCCTGTGTCTTTGTCCTTTGCTTTCAATTCCTGCCTTTGTTCTTTGTCTGGCAGGGCTGGGAGAGCCTGGTGCTCCCTCCACCTCAACTCCTCATATCCTGATAGAGTTGATGATTTCCTCCATTGGCTTTCCTGCCTAAATGCACTTGAGGTGACCACCATGAAGACGGAAAGAGCACTTCCCGAGGTCCAGAGGCTAGCTGGCGAGGGCTGCACCCTGCTGAAACCCAAGTAGTTCTTTTTTCTTTTCTTTCTTTTCAAGCCATGATGAGAAGTGGCTGTGTTCTCGGGTGCAGCTATCGTAGAAAGGCTGACAGCAGCGGCCACTTGGGTTCCTAGCGCTCCGGAAACTACCCACAGGCCATGGCCTGCTATTCTGGCCCGTTAATGTCCTTGCTTCAATCGGGTTGATTATTCTAGTGTTCATCAGCCCTGATTCCCTGCTCGATAAAGCCCCGACCGTTAAGGGGAAGTGTTTGTCATCTCGGCACCTGGTTTCAGGACCAAAGTTCTCGCCTCACAGTTCTGCAAAGCAATGCAGAATCACCTTTGCTCAGGGATCTCTGGTGGCTGAGTGCAGCCGGGACTATCCTAGGAGCTGTCTGGGTAGGCCAGGTAGGCGGCGGTGGGGAGTTCAGGTGACCAGGACTTCTAGGTTGCCATGGAGATTATCAGCCATCTGAGGAAGCCTGCTGGGAGGGGTGAGAGGTGAGGAACCCCCCCACCTGAGCATGTTGTCTGCCTTTTACCAATTTCTTGGCCCCCGGTGTACACATCCTGGAACCGGGCTGTCCCTAGTCTCTGTTGGTGGCTACTTGGGCCCTGGACTCTGGAAACAAAAGGGAAGCTAAGCATTGTGACTTCTCTCAGGAAACGCACCAAATTCATGCTTCTGGGTTCTCTCGCAATTCTTCAGGGGCCCACAGAACCCAAGGGTGATTTTTGTGGGTGTCCAGGAAGGGGAAGGTGCCTCTTGCCATATTCAGTCTGTGGGGCCCAGCTACCAACTTGCCCTGAGAACCCTGCCCTCAGAATTTCTAGCCACTCACTCCAGTTAGGGGACCTGGCCATGATGAGCCTCCTACCAGCTCTCCATTGGTAATTGCTGTGATGATTAATATTGATTATGAACTTGATAGGGTCTTAAATAGTCTTGGAGACAAACCTCCATCACGAGAGAGAGAGTTTCTAGATGAATGGAGGTGAGGAGATACACCCAAAAGGTGGCTGGTCCTGGAATGAATAAAAATGAGAGTGAGATGAGCATTGGCGTGCATGTCTCTTTGCTTCCCAGCTGCAGACGCCGCGTGGTTCACACCCCCACTGCAGGGCTTTCTCTGCCTCCCGCCAGGAGCCAGAAGGAAGTTTTTTTTCCCTCAAGCTGTGTGTGTCAGGTAATTTGCCACAGCACCGAGGGAAGTAACCAGTGCCATCTCCAAAAGCTTTGCCTACACCGTCTCCTGAATTATGGGGCCTTTAGGAGGTAGGCATTATTAATCTCGTTTTTTACAGAAGGGAGAGCGGAAGTTCAAGGTCACAGAGCTGACAGCTGTCAGAGCGTCGGACGTCTCACCCTCTCTGTCACGGCACTTGCTCAGAGGCATGCCGAAGGACCTCACCCCCCATCGTGTCCCCCCGGATGGGCACTGGGTTTTATTTCTGCAGCAGCTCCCATGGTTGTCCACCTTGTCCACTCCTCATCTCGATTCTCGGTAGCTTTTGTCTTTTGCTCCCTTCCCACGTCCTTAAAGGCACCAGCCAAGCCTGTTTCACCCAGAAACACCTGGTCAGGAAGCTCAGGTGTTGGCCACCTGGGCACTGCCAAGGGCCAAGTCCATGTAATTAGCCAACTGAGCCCGGGGTTGGGGAAGAGCTGGCCTGGACCATGAGGCCCTGTAGCCAATGGAGCTGGGGTTGGGGAAGAGCTGGCCTGGAGCATGAGACCCTGGCTCTGTAGAATGCCTTACAGTGGAGAAGGCAGGCAGTGGGTTGTTTTTGTTTGTTTTGTTTTTGTTTTTGTTTTTGTTTTTCTTCTTGCTGTAGATTTTAAATATGGAAAGGCAGGCACTGTCATTTCAGTGCATTTGGGAGCAGTATTCACAGCCCTGGGGAAGGGATGATGGCCACCATGGTCACCGCTGATTGAACATAGATTCTTTTGTCCTGAAGGGAAGGTCCCCTGACAGGTTTAGAGCTAGTCATGCTTCTAAGAATTGTCTCATGACAGAGGCAGGCAAAGCCAGGGGCCTCTCTGCAATACCCATGGGCCTTGGCAAAGGAGTCTTGGAAAAGCATGTTCTTTCTTCCAGAGTCACAAAGGACACTGTTGGGAGAGGGTTGTGGAATGGCAGTGTGCCAGACAGCCCTGTTTCTCCCAGAGTGGGGATGAAAAGCATTTACACCTTAGCCTCATTCTTTAAAAAAAAAAAAAAAAAAGAAAGAAAGAAAGAAAAGAAAAGAAAAAAAGAAGGAAAGAAAGAAATGTATTTTTTTATCAATTCTTTGAGAATTTTGTACATGTTCCAACTTTGTCTTTGTCGCCCCCACCCCCACCACCTGACAGTTTCCAATTTGTGCTGCTCATATACTCATGGATATATTCTACTGGAGTGAGTTTGGTTTACCAGGGGCCACACCCTTAAAAAAAGGAAAAACAACCCAACTCCCTTTACCAGCAGCCACCTACTTCCAATAGTTCCTCAGCTAGACAGGGGCTCAGGAGCACTGTAGAATGTCTTCGACTCGTGATGCATGCTGGGATGTCAGCTGGCTTGGTCTTGTGTGGGTTTCATGCAGGTAACCATGGCTACTGTGAATCCTTGGCTCAACAGTCCATCCTGACCAGAAGCCAGACGGTCCTTCATGACCTCTGGCTCTGAGAATTCTCTGCTCTCTCTTCCACAATGGTCCCTAATCCTGTGAGTGTGAGTGTGTGTGTGTGTGTGTGTGTGTGTGTGTGTGTGTGTGTGTGTGTGTGAGAGAGAGAGAGAGAGAGAGAGAGAGAGAGAGAGAGAGAGAGAGAGAGAGAGAGAGAGAGAGCGCGCAGTTCCATAAATGGAGCTGTGCTCCCCACAGACACTTACTTTTCACAGTTTGGCTACTTTTGAGTTTCTGCGTTAACCTCTGTCTGCTGCGTGAAGTAGCTTCTCTGCTGAGGTCTGAGAACTCGGTCTCGTGCTTTATGCCCTCAAAAGGGGGACTGAGGATGCTCATGTTCCCAGGATAAAGACCAGCACGCTTCACAGCATTCCCCCAAAGCAGATCCCCCACCGGCGTCACTGGGAACTGGGTGGGCTCAGCTTTGATGTTTCCCTCCTCACCCAGGAAGCAGGCCTGTCTCTCTCTGTCTGCAGCACTTGGCTTCTCTGGCCCACAGAATCTATGACCCACCTTGTAATAGAGAAGGCTCTCATTTGACTATTAAATTGAGGCTCAGAGAGGTCAAGGGCTGAAGACAATAAGCTGGGATTCAAATAGTGACCCACGTCCCTTTATCCTAGGACAATGGAAAAAAATAGTGTCAGGTGGCAGTCTCAGGTTCCCTCCACTCTGGGAGTCTTTTCTTTATCTTTGAGGAAGGAACTGGAGGGTTGGTACCATCTCACACTGGACCCTGGGGGTCCACGGCACACTGAAGGTTTTACAGAGAGCCCCCTGACTTTGCTAGTTTCCTATCAGGGTAGACAGCAGCGTTTGGAAAGCTCCTCAAGATTCACGTGTCAGGACTGCACATAGCGGTATGTGCAGGGGAAGTGCTCTGAAGGTGCTGGGCCCACAGGAAGTGGGAACTGTTTCTAACACAAAGGATGTGGCTCAAGACAAGGTCTGAGAAATGAAAGTCAAGAAGGGAGAAGAAGTGGGATCCCGAGGTGCCCCAGGGACGAGGAAGTGGCTTTGTTGGCAAAGGTAGGCAGAACGGCAGCCAAGTGAGGTCTAGGGTGAACGCGGCCGCCATTTTCCTTCGACAGAGGGATTGCTGCGTGAGGTATAGGAGCCTGGAGAGTGGACATTTGTACATGGAGATTCCCAGACAACTCTCAGGGTGTCTTCACAGAGACTCCTCCTGAGGAGAAATGTAACTTGCAATATGTCTCATTAATGGCCTCCAATCAAGTTGACAATTGAAATGGACCTTCGCAGCCTCAGAGGGCCGACTTTCAAGGAGTTACTTAGAACCACTGTCGAGGATCATAGCAACCTTGAGAGAGCTTATGCTTCATTGGAATAAGGCTTTCTCTATGTTTCTGATAAGTTTATTAGTGATTTTAGCCTATACTCCAGCAGTACTTAAAAATGTTCCTGCATAGAGAACCATAGGCTATCAATGACGAAGCAGAGTTCAGAGGCCACATACCCCCCTTTACAGGTAGGGAAAGGGGGTCAGAGTGAGGTTACCCCAACAGTCTCTAGGCTGTCTGTTCAGTGCATGGTAGAGTTGGTGTCTTGATTTTTTTTTTTCCAGGACTCAGTTCACAGGGACATATCCACCCCACGGGGACTCAGTATTTATGTGCTAAGTGGATAGCACATATTTTTCCTTATGCTCCCAGGCCCTGGAAGGCAGGGTACCTTTATCTAGTAGACAGGAATGGAGGCGTTGACAGCACAGAGGCACTGTGCTTGGGAGGAGGAGATAGTTATGGTGAGAGCAAAGGGCTCTGATTCAGGACACATTGGTAGGGTGGATCTCTATCTTTGGGGATGGACCAGAAATAAGGGTCATCAATACCTATTGATGGTCAATGTTGTCAACTTGATAGAATCAAGGGTCACCTGGGATATGGGCCTCTGGGCATGACAGTAGGGGTTATATCTTGGTTAGGATAACTGAGGTGAGAAGACCCACATGCTCATCACCCTTCCCTGTGGGATGCTGTGAATGACTGTATCAGTGGGGGAAGGGGGCTGGGTAACAGCACACGTTCGGATGCCATGTGACCAGCTGCTTCAAGCTCCTGCCCTTGACTGCTCTGTACCTCTGAGCTGTGAGCCGTAACATACCCTTCCTCCCTTCAGTCGCTTTCGTTAGGGTATTTTATCACAGCGACAGGAAAAGAAATGGAGGCAGCACCCTTAGGACTGTGAGGAGGAGCTTCACGGGGTAGGCAGGGGATGGAGATTCGGAAAAAAGTGGGGGCTGAGCAGACCCTGGAGGGAGGCAGTGACTCCAACATCAGGAAGAGATGCGGTGGGTCTCAAGTCCTATGGTATATCACCCCCTCCCCCCACAA